ACACAAGCTCTCGTTGTGACGCGTTCAATCGACGGATGTACTCCCTCGCTTTCATAACCGCGTCTTTAGTCCCCTTTCGCCGAACCTTCATCACCGACGCTACCACATACATTCCTGGACATGTCGTGTTGAGGCGCAGCTTCGTGTGCATTCGGTCGATATCCGTCAAGATCGCGTGGTACGCATGCTTGTTGAGACCGAGGGCGTCCATTTCAGGTGTATGAGGCGGATAGATGGGATGTCTGAATCCGAAGCGCAGTACTCGGAGTCTTGTTCCTCGCTCTACCGTCTGACGGCATTCCAATCTTCTGTTATGCTCGTAGCTGGTTCTGTTCACGGCACTAGGAAACTGCTCCTTCCACGCCCGATCATCGCTCACCAGCGCGGCAATGATATCTTGCTTCAGTGTAGTATCGGCATACTGCTTCCTCCTATTCACTAGAGGGTTGTCTTCCATCTCAGCCAGATATTTTGCATATGTACTGCGCCGCGTACTGGCATTGATGCTTGCTCTCATCCAGGCTCGAAAGTAAGGGTCGACACCGTATCGATCGATATTGGCACTCAGAACCTCCCGCTTACGAAGCGGGACAGCATTGGGACAAAGAGGATATGGCTTCGAACGATCTCGAATTTGTGCGTGGTGGGGGATGAGGTCATCTGCACACCTGATCGTCTCTACCGCGGACATTGCTTGGCGCCCAAGTGTTGGTCTTGGTCCAGACTCAGCGCATGGGAATACATCGATGAAGGACAGACGCTGACCCATACGATGACTCGGCTTGGCTGGAGGCGCAGACATCAGTGCCGCTTGCAAGGTCTGGTCGCGGTCGACATGGAGAATCTGGATATGTGACTCTGAGACACGAGAGGGCGCGAAAACCGAAAACGAATGCACGCAAACCATCACCGAAACGCCCCTGGCTTGAAGATTCCATGTTATCTCTTCAAGTAGCTGATTGAGCGCGACAGCCTCTTGCTGGTTCTTCTTCAGCTGTTCGGTTGTATCCCAAAATCTGCCGCATTTGCCTGGCCCGTGCTTCTTTCCGGAAGTCTTGCGTTGACCGGCTTCAGCAGGGGATGTCGCGACCGGTCCAGCACATTTCTTTCTCCTTACTCCCGTCCAGATCTTGTTCAAAAAGTCCCTCAACGCAGTTATCAAGCGACAATAATCTTCGTACGTAAGACCATGGTCTGCTAGCGCAGTTGTGTACTCTGTAGGTTCGCAGAGGCGAAAGGATGTCACAAAATGCGCTTCGGATCGAGCACATTGTTGACGGTCGGAGACCCCAGGAAACAAAATCCCGATGTCGTCAACGAAGCGTTTCTCCGGCTGTTGAGGAGGTAAGCGGAAGTCGCTTGTCTGCACGACGGATTTGCGAATGTTCTCCAATGTCGAGTGCCTTATACTAATCGTCGATTTCAAAAGACTTCTTGCTCTAGCTCCAATACGCTCCCCAAGGACGCGGTGATCGCCTGAGACGCAGGCATCAGGCCGTGTGGCTGACGAGATTAGGCTGCTCTTCGGGTACGAAGACTCCGACTGCAGTGGCGGATCTGCGATCGTACTCTCAGAGCACTGTTTCCCAGACGACTGCGCATAAAGTGCGCGGCGATACACTAGCGAGTTCGCGTCTTTAATAACGTGAGAGTCGCTATTGGATTTGTTATTCGTCGCGACATCCAGATCTGGCTTCGTGGTTCGAAAAGGTATGGGATCGGTGTGCCTGCGAGATAGCACAGGCCTTGCATGCTCGTCCTTTCCTTCTCTTTCCGCACATTCTATGTCTTCCCTCTCGCTCCCTAAGGTCATTATACAATCCACCGACAGCCGCTGAGCCATTTTGAAGATCTGGACGTCATGGGTATCTTTGTCCCGTGTCTTTCCGGTCGTCATACAGTATTGACGGTGTATTTACTCGTCGTGAGCGGATAAACTGGATTCGCAATTCTCTTGAGGTGTTTGAAACTTGTTGAGGGCGCTGGTAAACATGATCGTGGGCAACAACCCACTAGATATGGACAGAAGCGACTGCCGGCTGCTAAATTTACAATCGTGGCAGCTCGGTAATGTTTCTCTCCCTGCAGCGCAATTGACTTTGGACCAATCTGCACTCAGAAATGTCGGCCGAAACTGAGGGCAGGGGCGTATGCGAAGACAAAGGGCTGCAGCAAGGGGCTGCCCTTTGCGCATGTCTTGGACCACTACTTCAACAAGTTTCGACGCACGATGACATTCGAACACTACAAGCATTAAGTCTTCACCCAAAACGGTCGCGCCCAAGGATCTACTGATTACACGGTCCATGGTAAGTTGCTCCGCGGATCTAACATGCGCTGCGCCCTCCCATTTAGGTGAACTTTCATGCGCAAAATACGTGGCATTTCAAGTCGGGCTTTCGTCACCGCTGCGATCGATTTAAACTCTGGAGTCCAAGCTCAATGCGATTGTTGTTGGCCCCAAAGGTGAGGGCATCTGGCGGTGGCGCAAAGGATCAGGCATTTCATGCGCCTGAAAACGCCGCAATCTCATGGGCCAGGATTTGCACGCATCTCCTCGCAGTGTCTCTTCCTCTATCTGATTCAGCCTTCTCAGTCGGTATCTGATGAGAAGTAGAACATCGAAGTCATACCGTTCGCATATTGTCATACAGTGATATGCGTCAAACGAAGAGTCAACATGTATACATCTTTGACACGGCGTCTCTCACACGTCTTTCCCAGACGCCGTCAACGACCATGGGTTTTCCTACTCGGGCCAGTCACTCGACCACCATGGTGGACTCATTTGGACGTAATATAAAAGTCCTTGGACTTCGAGAACCTTTACTGGACAACGCCACTCTCATCGCTATATTCACGATCTAGGGACCATGACAAGCGAGGCATATAAAGCTTTTCTACGAGATCACGAAGAATACTCCAATCCGGGGTCCACGCATGCGGAGGCACCGAGGCCACGCCAATCTGTTGAGCCTCGACCAAGGTCATCGAGAAGGTCTTTTCTTGATGATGCGCTGACAGATCGTTCAAAAAGCGATCGGTTGCGCGCAAGGCGTCAGTTACATAGCTCTCCTGCACATCATGATCGCGGGAGAAGGAACACCGACAAGCAAGCTTACGTTAAAGAGGAGGACCTCGAGACAGGCGCTCTTCATCGTTGGGAACCAGATTCCGACAAGAACAGAGTCCATGGGAGAGCCGAGGGCATTGGTGAAAAGCTAGCACCGAGGCCCAAACAAGAAAACCGTATCTTGTCGCAAGAGAGTGTTACCACGAACAACGAGGCTAGAAATCACCACGAGAAAGATCGGCGCACTGTTCACGGCGAGCGTGAGCGAGGTAAGCTATCTGTGCCCTCATAATCTATAACCCGCCACTGACTATATTGGAAGATACGCTTGAAGATCACGGTCTAACGAAAGATTACATCGATGGCTTTCTCAGTGGTGTTGACGAACAACATGAGAGACGGCTGAGAAATTGGATGATGGCGGATATAAAACGCCAACTGAAGTTACAAACCGACTTACAAGAAAGGGCTGTTCGGGAAGCTACAGATTTGAACTCAATTATGGCAAGAATCAGGCGCACTTCGCGGCGTGCCACAAGTACTCCAGAAAGTCAAAAACCGGGCGCGTCATCCAGCACTCGTGCCCAGGCCTCGTCGACCAGTTCCACCTCACATGTGTCGCGTGACCAAGGTGAAGATGGTCACAAGAATTTCGAATCGAGACAAAGCTACGCTCATCGCACTACCCGAGGTCTTTACAAAGAAGAAGAGGAAGGGAAGAGAGAAGAGATTCAGGAAAATCACAGGAAATGGTACGAGGACTGCAGAGAGAAGGCTATGCGTGATGCAGCTGCACTAGGCTCAGGACAAACATCACGCCCACAACCGATCATTGCGAACGGCATGAATAGTGCGCGCACTGCCGCAAGCCATCCCAAAGATCGCAAACCGAGCGCATCGTCCCGCACGCGTCCTCAAGTCTCGCCGATCAGATCTACCCCAGACGTGCCAAGTGTTCGATCCGCTGGGTCAGATTACACAACGAGAGAGCGGAAGACGGTAGTCGAACAGTCACCTCTTATCTATTATTCCCATCGTCCCGATGGCACTTCTGAAAATTTGACAATTCGTAGTGGTTCTCGGCCATGTTCGCAATGCGGAAACAAAAGCCAGAAACCCCATTACATTGATGCGGCTTGCCAGACCGACGCTTCGCTGGCAAAAGCTGTTTCTGCAAACAAGCAGCCGTCCTTATCGAGAGAAGACGTGGCTAAGGGGTTCGACTTCTGGATCTAGTTGAAGAGAGAGTCATTCTGTCCGTTGAGGGCTACGTTGCGATGTTTGGCTGATTCGGTAGCATTCCAATATCGATGAACTTCCACAAGCTTGCTTGTCCGCACCGGCCGCTGTGGTTCAAGGAAGCTTAGGGTACCTTGTTGATGTCAGTCATCGGTAGTACGATCTACAATACGGAAGTCTTCTGCTTACCTGACAGTGTTGGTGTTTGAAGTTTGCGATCCTACAATCTCTTCCTCGCTCGTTGCTCTTTAGGCTGACCAGTCGCTGCGTGATCTACGTACCCGAATAGCCCACTTCATACCAGCTTCGTCGCTTTCCAACTCAGAATACAGCTGGTACAGTCCAGCTTGACCAACTCTGCCAAAGGTGCTGTGCTTGTAATCAGAAATTCCAATGTTTGATATAGGGCGATGATTGTGAAAGTGCGTCTGTCGTACTTGCGCGTCTCAAAGCAGGTCGCAAACTTTTCACCATTCACTTCATTCACCACTGCCTCCATTGCCCAATTCGGAACAAGCAGTCACCCAGAATTCTACAGCCCAGGCGGCGCCCCATTTAAATCACTTACCTTTGTCAGCCCTGTTACCCTTATCTTTAACGTCCTCGCTTTCCCATAGCAGCAGCTCCCTCAGTTACGGCAAATTGCGCGTGCATATGCGCAAATCCCTAACCTCACCCAACAGCCGACATGGAGTAATTATACCCTGCAGCCCGAAGACCTATTTACTGTCGCTGACCAATGCAGTCCCAAGGACTCCATCATCCAGCTGATCGTGCCGAATTGCGCTGGGGATACGGAGCGTCTCCAAGTTCACCGCGGTGTTCTTGGCAAGAGCTCAGAGTTCTTCCGAAGAGCTATGAAGCCCGAGTGGACCGATCGGAAAGAAGATTCAAAGACTCTGGATCTTCCCGAGGATTCGGCGAACATCGTCACCGACTATATCAAGTGGCTTTATGACGGAGAAATTCCGATCGGCTCACGCGCGGCCCACGAAGCCACCCACGACAGCAGCGCTGGAGAGGCGGAGAAGTTCCTCGCTCAACTTGCACGAGCATACGTATTTGCGGAAAGGATCATGGATGTCAAGTACAAAAACGCGTTGTTCCAGGCTATATACACGGCTCAAAACAAGTTCGGCTTGTGCATGGGGAATGAGAGCGTCAAGATTGTCTATGATGGCACGCCTTCCGGATCTCCACTGCGACGCTTAATTGCTGCAGACGTCGCGCACAAAGCGTACGATGACTTGAAAGAAGGGGGTGGCTGGATGGAAGACTTGGAATCGTATTCAAGAGAAGCTCTGATAGATGCATTACAAGCCACGTTGAGGGTGCGTTGCAAGGCAGACGCCCCCTACCCTAGCGTCGGGTGGTACATTGAGGATGAGGAGTAGCTATGTTACTAATGCTTCTACGGATGGGGACGTAAGGGTGGCAAGGGTCTAGGCCGCGATGGATGAATTTCGTGCAAGACAGCAAACCATTGCTGTCATCAATCAATGACTCCATACAAGATCAGAGTTCTTCTATCATTTTCTACACCTCACTAGGCAACACACCCCAACTATCATAAAACGTCCTCTTGACCTCATCACACAATACATCGTTCGCCTGATTAATCTCCGCCATCTTCTCAGTAGCTTTCTTCTTATCAGGTCCACGACAACGATCAGGATGCCACTTTAAGCTCATAGCGCGGTGCGCTTTCTTGATGTCAGCAGCTGTGGCAGTCCGACTAACACCGAGCACGGTGTACAAATCTGTGGCGGGTTTGATACCTTGCGGAGGCGGCGTGACGGGGCGTTGAGATGATGATGGTGGCTGTGGTGGTACATAAGAGGTTCTAGGTGGAGCGCCGGGGTGGAAAGAATAAGAAGAGTTGGTCGGGTACGAATCGGACGACGAGTAAAACGTATAGCTTGGTGGTGATGAAGAGTACGAGGGATGACTCAACTCTGCAGTCCAACGCCGATAGCCCGAAGGTGGCTTGCGGTCTTGACCACTGGAGGAAGACCAGCCGTATGCATGGTTACGAGGGACATAAGAGGATGAACGCTGTGGGCCATAAGAGAATGTACGCTGTGGACCATAAGAGGATGCACGCTGTGGACCATAAGAGAAAGCACGCTGCGGGCCAGAATCTCTAGCAGTATATCTATCAGAGTTTGCTCGCGATTGCTGAGCATTGCTCTGATAGTCGTAGGCAGAAGGGATGTAATCTGGACGGCGATAGCTCGGTGTACTCCGATCCTCTGCGTGTTGCCATTGTGGCTCTCGGTCGTTACCCTGATAGCCGTAATGGGAGGGGATGTACTGAGTAGCGCGATATTCAGGTACACTTGGTATGCTCCAGTCTTCTTCAGCTTGCGTTCGCATCTCTGCAAATATGCTGTCATTGTTGTCTAAAAGAGTCCACATCATGCCGGAGAACCCACTAAAAGCATCGCCACTGCCGTCTCTAGCTCTCCGTGAGCTACGCATCGACGGGTTATTATCGTACGAGAGTGGAGACGATGAATAGTTATGGTGCGCTATACTCGCTTGATATATCTCTTCCAGGTACCATTTCGAGGTGAATGAATCAGCGTTGAGGACACGTTTGATGTAATTGAGGCTGCGTTCGGAGGCTTCTTCGATGGTGTAGCCCCTGTTTCGGCAGTGAACGTAATAGCTTTCTCGAAGCTCTTCTTCTTCTGGGTGTGTTTCCATAGTAAGGTGTATGCAGTCTTCAAGTAGAGGGTTGACAGTGGTACTACAGCCGTCAGGGGGAACGGTTCCAGTCAATGGAAGAATCGCAAAGGACCCGGAGGTCCGGGGTGGCTTGGCCTTTCAAGAGGTGAATGATGCAATGTGGGATGCAGCACTGTTAAACAATAGCACTTCGGCAAAGGCCCAAATACTCATTGTGATTTCACTGCACTTTTCTTCGTGTCTAAATGAGTGATATAGGCCAGCGAATGACTGCCAGCCACTTTTGCATGATCCTAGAGTGAGGAGTTGCACTGACCCAACACATGTCAGAAGCTGACCAGGCAGACAAAGGTTTAGGGGAAAAGAGATGAGTACCATTGTACTTCAACGAAGTTCGTCGCCTTCCAAACCCTGAAAGTAAGTCACCTATTGCCTGATAGCTTGTTCCTTGCCCTGGAGACGTCTCATGGTTTTAGCCTCAATATGCAGTCATAACTTATACGATACGTATTGATGGTCTCTTGCAATCGCTGTCTTGACATTCCTATGACAACATTTCATTCGATTACTATTCGCTCGATAGCGAGGGCGAGCTGCATAGCTGACTAACGGCAGCTCAGTAACGTGTCACAAGGTTCCCCGCACGATAACACTTCACAGCATCACGCTGATGAACACCACCGCTCACAGTGATGGAAAACTTTGACTGGAGCCGCTCGGATCTGAATCGGACACACTTCCATTCACTCGCGAACCTTCTTTCACTTCGCAATGGCGGCCAAGTCGAGCCTACTGTGAAATTCGACACTGAGCCTGAGCTAGATTTGGAGGTCAATGACGAAGAAGATTGGGAATCTCGTAGTGTCAACACTGCTTTGGCAAACCAGATATCTGAATCAGGTCATGGTAAACTCAAAAGGCGGTTTCTCGATGCTGTGGCTGGGTTCGCCGCGAACAAAAAGGGCGGCACAGCAGTTGCTTGCTCGGCTATGAAAGAGGCTGAGAATGACGTCGTCATCTGGCTCGCTCGCAACGACGGCTTCTCCAATGGCGATCGTCCTGCTTTCGAGAAATTAGGAGCAATACTAAGTTCTCTGTCCTACAACGGCGGTAAGTTCCGTGACACTGCCATATGCGCTCGCGCGCTAACTTAGGCTCGTGCTCATAGTCGAGGACTCCAAGGATCTCCTATGGGAACATATGGTTTCGTACCACAGTAGCCGGATCAAACAAGACTACATCTTTAAACTGGGGAAAAGCTTCAAAGCTTACGACGCTGAACAAACGCGACACGTTGCCAACACGACAGCAGATCGGTCAGTCGTCGATGCAGCGCTATCCGCCCTGCGTGACCTTCTCTTCAATAACCTGCCGAATGACTTAAGTACGTTTGATAAGCACACAAAGCTGATTGTGGCGTCATACGACCTGCGCCGGGAAGCTGCCGTTGAAGAGGCACTGAATAGCGGCGCGAGTTCGACTCCCAGGTCGAGGACATTGTGGAGCAGCATCTGCCTATTCTCCCGTGTTCGCGTGGCATACCGCACCTTCATCGAAATAGCCCAGACTCTGCCAAGTTTTGGCCACGTCAGATTTGTCCTTATTCCCCGTCCTGCTGTATCTCCAAAACCACCTCAACGACCGGCAACTTTAAAACAAACTTTGGGAATGCTCAAGTTGGACTTGAATCGCAACACAACGAAGGAAGTCCTGGGTAATGATTGGACCGTCAATAAGACTGAAGAGAAGTTCAAGAATCTGCAAAAGCAGAACCTCAACGTGCACGCTGAGGTGCAGATGCTGATAGCTTTGGCTGCGAATGAATCGGTGAAGTCGGATCTGTTCCCATATTTTGGGTGCAGCAAATTGAGCTGTTTCATGTGTAGTCGTTTCATACAGGCATATGGGCGATTTACTACGAGAGGGTGCCATGGCCATCTCTTCAAACCGTGGACGGTACCAAATGCAGATGGGCTATTGCCAGGACAGCCGGACCGCATAGCAAAAGCTCTCGTGTCAGTCCAAAAGGAGCTCAAGAAAAAGTTGAAGGAGTCGATTGAGACTCATATTCGACACGAACGAACTTCGGTAGTTGGCGGGAGTAGTATCGTGAGTGAGTGGCCAGAGAAGGCATCATCAAGAAAATCCCAGATCGACCAGTTGAGAGCGAAAAGCGTACACGACAGAGTTTTAGAAATCTTTCGAAGGTCAGTGATGCTGCGAATTCTTGGTGTCGCAAATTCCAGCTAGTATCAGACCTTTGACTAACCGTCACAGACGAGACGAGGACACTACCAGATCAACCCAGTATAGATACCCACTCTCTGACGAAGATAATATGGCCCGAGAGTGTGACGTATGCTGCAAGCGAACGACTCGAAGATGCGGTTTCTGCAACAAGGACTCTTTCTGCAGCGAACGCTGTGAGGATAAGATGCCTTCGCGGCATGTATTCAATTGCTCAAAACGCCCGCTCACGACAGCTGATTTCTTATGGAGATCATTAGCAGAAGACCTCATACCAGAGGAAGAAGAGGTTTTGGAGGATTTTGGGTTCAATAGTGTGAATTTTGGTCAAGGAAGATCATACCTTTTTGGTGTATATGCCGGTCTGTATCGGTCCGGCAGGTTCTCAGCGGAAGACTTCCATAACTGGCGTATCGGAGGTATCCTGACCGAAAAGATCAAAGAGTTCTTCTATAGCCTTCCGGAGGATTCCCGTGGAAGCTACTTTCCTTGGTTCTTGGAAAACCTCCCTCTCCTGGAGCGGCCCACGACCGAACAACAGGCGATGCAAAACCTTGTCGCAAGCATGTTTGCTAAAGCCAGACCGTACTTGGATATCGAAGATCGCAACAGAGCGCTTGATGAGTTGATGCCTGAAGCCAAGCGGGATAGCTTCACCTTGCTGGCTCAACTGTCTCACCAGATGTCGCCGAATCCGATCGAACAAAACTGGTACTCTTTTGGGTTCGTAACCTGTCGTGGAAAGAGTGAGGAGAACACACTCGTGCAAGTCTACCAGCTCCTCCTTCTTGAAGATGATGGGAGTTATTTTTACAAGTTCTACAACAGCCGAAGGGACCACAACTCACCTGTCGGGTTGACGCAGTTTTGGAAAGCGTACGAAGCGGGAACACTCATACAGCTTATGGATTCGAAAGGCCTCAAGAACTTTCGATCCAGATTGCCACTCTTGGAGGTCTTCCTGTCCGGTTCATGCTCCTCCGTATGGGATTTGAAATGGTTCCTTGACATCGAAGACCCAGTGAAGTACCCGCCCATTCCTTCGGTGAGCCTCGACTATGGTTTCGTCAACTGCAACACGTTAGAGGAGACCTACACGTTGATTGAAATTTACAAAAGGGTTTTGCAGACCGCGCATCTACTAGACCTTCAACATGCGTGTATAACAGGAACTTTGTGGCAGTTCGCAAGCAGTCGCATCCGGATGGAGGAGAAATGGAGGCCGTTGATGAAGAAAGTCTATTCATTGGAGACACCGACGGTGTCAGAGACAGGCGAGGATATGACACCAAAAGCAGAATCAGAGGAACATGGAGAACCCGTCGTCGTTTCGTCGTCGCTACTGTCGAGACTGTGGGGCTCGCTTTCAGTCGTCTGATCCAATCCCATATGCCGTAGTGCCTGTTACGAACTCTGTGCTTTAGTAACTATGCAGTGCAATGTACAGTGTCCAATTGTTGCCAGACCTTAGACTAGGCGTAATATTACATTGCTTGGAAAGAGAGCCTTCGCCTGGTTGCGTGTAGAGGCCTTATCCCATAGTGATGCATACATATGTTGTACATGCCCCAATTCCTCCTCACATAGGGACAGGCGTCAGATGGCCATCCTTGTCATACTTCGCCTTGAAGAACGTGTAGCTCAGTGTAACGGTCTCAATACCCTTCATGTTAATATCCTTTGTGAATTCGGGATCGATGTAGAAGAAGACGGGCATGTCCACCGTTTCCCCAGCATTTAGTCTCTGCTCTTCGAAGCAGAAACATTGGATCTTGCTGAAGTATGGGGCGACCTGTCCTGGTGTGACAGAATATGTAGCTACGCCAATGATATCTTCTGACGATTTGTTGGTCGCAGTGTAGAAAGCGAGGGCGGTCTCGCCGGGGAGGACTCGGACTTCGCGTTGTTGAGGAACGAACTTCCAGGGTAGGACGTCGGATACGGAGCCGTTGAATGTGATTCGGATACGGGGGTGGTGTTCGACGGGCTTTAGGCGCTCGGAGGGATCGACGGAAGTATCGCCGCCGTGGGCCGCTGACTTTATGGGCTGGCCTCCCCAACCAGTCTCCTGGCAGATCTGTAGAATTTGTGAGATTGGGTTCTTGTCGACAAGGTGATGATCTATGAGCATACCATCTTGTAAAACGGTACTGAGCCATAACTGAGCGCTGTGAAGCCTATTATCACACTGAAGACATAGTTCCTACACTATGATCAGCGATTGCGCTCTCCGTCACCAGAGACTTGCACATACATGACTGTGCGGTTCTTCATCTTATATTGCGCATGCATCTGGTCCATTCTTGGCACGGTGCCATGCTGCCGCGCGGGATTTGTGCTGTTCATCCATCTTCGTGCGGTCACTGCGAAATTGCGGGCGCGCGGTATCTTACTGAGCGAGCGAGAGCACGACAGGCAAGTCCAGGATCCCAGCGACCGTGAGGGAAGTTGTCGTAATGGCGATGCGGTAGACATGTTGTGTTGTAAGAGTCAACGAGCCAATGGAGGAAACCTCGGCGGAGTGATGAGCAATGGAAGTTCGCCGCGGGATTTAGCCCGATTGGGAACGCGTCTTGGAGCGCAAAAGTCGCGAGTGATTGCGGACGTCATCTTCGATACTTCCAGCACCACCATTCCTACTACACACATTCGTCTTCTCTTTCCCAAGGTTGAAGTCGCGATCCCCGCCAACAACCAGCGCAATGTCAGAAGTCCTCTGCGGCGTCTGCAGCGCAGAGCCCAAGAAATACAAGTGCCCGACTTGCGCGCTTCCATAGTTCGTTGCCATTTGGGATCTCTTCGATCTATAATACTGATCGCACACAGCTGCTCATTATCATGCTTCAAATCGCACAAAACAACACATCCTGACACCACGTCAGTCGCCCCAAAGCCAGCAGAACCAGCCCTCCCACAACCACCTCCTCCCGCCCCAGTACCGCGCTACCTAAAGCAGCGCACCGACTTCTCCGTATTAGCAACGAATCCGAAATTCCAAGAGCTACTCAAAACACACCCAACACTACTCCCGACACTCCAACGCGTATACGCCAAGACCATTAAACCAGATCCCGAAGCTGAGAGCCGGCGGCGCATGCTCGAGCGAAACGCCTCACGAGGAAGAGGCATGAGAGGAAGGGGCCGAGGAGCCTGGAGAGGTGGACGTGGAGGTTTCAATGGAGGGCAGGAGAAGAAGGAAGAGTACTGGACCCAGAAGAAGGGAGACAAGGACGCGATGGAGGCGTTGAAGAGCATAAGAGAAGGAGAGGGGAAAGAGGGAGAGAAAGACGCCATGGCCGAGTTCGTTGGGTTGGTAGAAGAGCTCTTTGGGCAACACGAGAAGGATGCGATGGAAGAGATCTGATGCTTGAGCAATGAACCCACGACATCGCGCCAAGCATTCAAGGGCTGATATCCAACGGCGAAAAGGGTCACTTGCTGACAGGCCACGACAAGTTGAGTGCGGGAGATACGGGCCCTTCGAACGGCTAGCCATGACATATTATACGTCGCCAGCTAGCTAGCACGTATACTTGATATCCAACTCCACCCTCGGCACACCCTCGAAATCCTCCGGAACCACATACGAAATATTGTAGAACAGGTGGTTCCTCAGCGCCCTTCCATACGTCACATTCTGCTTCACCAAACCCTCCGCTTCAACCTCAATGTCCACACACGGCAGATCCTCAAATCCCGTAATCCGTCTTCCGGTTCCCAGCGTCCAACTCGGCGGAACATTCGACAGCGCAAACGTGAAGATTTCGCTTCCCTCCTGCGTGCGGTTCGGGTAGCTAACAGAGAGATGATTCGGCGATGCGATAGCGTGTATCGAGGACGCAGACGGGTAAAGGGCAAAGAAGGTGTTAAGCGGATAAGGCTTGTGTTCCTTATCACCCGCCCAATGCACAATAGCAGGAACAAACTGATCCCCTCTGTTCACATCCTCATCCACCTGTTGCCCCCCAATCATCAACTCTTTGCTCAACCAACTCGACGCGATCCTCGGTTCACCTCCTTCCAGCTCATCCCAGACCGTTCGATTCAGCCACCTCGGCTTACCAATGAAGTCCCTCGTCGTAAACACCTCTTCCACATGCGCTGGAAAAAGCTCCTCTACATCCCCCAGGACAAGCGCCATAGCGGCCCCTTGCGCAACATCGAACAGTAAATCCCCCTCCATCTTCTTCGGCTGGCTCGTCCGCTCCCTGCCCCAAAGACCCCACAGTACCAAGGACAAAACGGATGAATGCTGCGTGATATCCCTCGTATACGCCCTATCATATGGCCCTACCACATTCCCCAGATACCCATTATGATGATCCGCCAAATCACCCATCATCCGCGGCAGGATATACTTCGCCGCCTTCGTCATGCTAGAGTTACCAACACCGTATTTGATCTGCGCACCCATGGCCCAGACATCGATCCCGTAGTACGTAGGCGCGTTATACTCGCTAACCGTCTCCGCGCCTTCTCGTTGGAATAACTGTAATATCTTTTTTCCTTGGTCTTCCGCGAAAGACGTGAAAGTTGAGTTGGATCGCCGTGTGCCGATGTATTCGCAGAGGAGAGCGCGCATCATAGCTGGATTCGTGTAGCCGATTGTTAGGTTGTCGTCGATTGTGGGGTAGGTGCCGTTGCGGCGCATACTGCCCACGGCGGCGACTTCGAGCGAGTCTTCGATGGAGGTTATGAGCGAGGGGGCGAGGAGGGAGGGGAATTCAGAGAGGATCTGGATTAGTTGTGTGCCGATGAAGTCGCGCCAGTTGGGGTCGTAGGTCGTCTTCGGGGGGGAGTGTATTAGCTTGGATGCCGAGGCTTGTGATGGTAGATGCCGGGCAACGTACGTATATCTTTGGTACGTATAAACCTGAATCGGGCGTTGGATCTGGTTCATCTGGGGATAACTTGTAGGTTCCGTACCATGGAGCGTCGAAATCTTCTGTCATTTGACATGCCAGTCTGTTCTCATCGTCAGTCTACAGCTTCTTTTCTTTCGACTCTTCTATGTTCGAATGATACGTACATATTCCTAATAGAAGCTTCTGCATGCTTCACATCGTCTCCCTGGTTTCTGTGCAACAATCCGGCTACGTACCACGCTGTGAAACGAACAGACCATGGTCCTTTGTCGGAGTATTGGATGAAGTTGTAGGATGCATCGTAGCGATTGTCTTGGATGTGCATGGACCAGTCGAAAAGATCTTGGGCATCTGATTGGGACTGTTAGTGAGAAGACATAGACGTTAATTAGAAAGCTTGATTGACGTACTTGAAGAAAGTACTGTGCTGCTACGTTTCGTTACTGCAGCACTTACACGCGTGGCAAGATACGCTACGACGAAGCTGAATGCCCTCATCTTAGACTATAGACGAACCCAATGCATTCAATAGCTTCATTGTCCTCATCACATTGTCGACTTAAATACCTTCCCAGATTCCTGCACGCCTGAGCCGGATAATTGCACCCGCAATCAAAAACCTCCGCATCGTGAGCGGCGATCTACCCCAGACTTCAAGTATTCGGCGCAGTGCCCGCCGAAGAGTAGCCTTGTGTGTTCTAGTGAAGCTTGGAGTGCTTGGTAGGATCAGGTAGTTGCATGTGTAGTGTCACTTCTCGTTGCCGCTAATGACGCACCGGGAAATTCTCCCGGATATATTCCTCTGGGCGTCAATACTTCCGGTGCTACTAGAAATGAAGTCTTGGAACTGGTATTTGACTCTTGGAAAAGGTATATTGAGGCAGAACAACGCGTATCGCGGATGGGAATGTGGTATCGTAGAATCAACAGTAGGTTACGTTGTGAAATATTCCATCTCTTTCCTCAATCTTACTTTTCTTACGAACAAGAACTTATACCGTCTCGATATACCTTCTGACTTCCCAATCAGTCACGGCTTCATCCCACAGCCTAATCTCATGTTGCCTGGTGCCGCCAAAGTGGTCCACAAACTGATCGCCAAATACCTCTCTCGCGACACTTTCTTTCCTCATAAACCGCTCTGTGGCCTCCTTCAGGCTCTTGGCTAGGCGCTCGCCCTTATCCGCCTCTCCGCCAACATCTTCGCCCTTGCCTAGAGGCGGTATGCTAATCTCCATCTTCTTCTCGATACCTCGCCAGCCAAGAGCTAGAATGGCAGCAAGGACGAAGTGTGGGTTTGTGTCTGCGCCTGGCACACGCACTTCGAAGCGTGTTGCCTTACCAGAAGAGGTGGGAGGAGAAATAAGACGGATGGACGCGGCGCGATGTTCAAGACCCCATGATACAGTAACAGGTGCCCAGAAATTCTCTACTAGCCGTTTGTAGCTGTTGACATTGGGTGCGAGAATAGGCATGATGTCGGGGAGACCGTCGATCAAACCCGCGAGGAAATGCCGACCAAGGTCCGAAAGGTACGCGATGTCTGAGTATGGCGCATTCTTGTCCTCTTCGCCTCGGTAGAAGAGGTTCTTGTTTTCTTTGTCCACGATTGAGACGTGCATGTGGCCGCTGTTTCCTGGGAGACCCTCGCGCGGCTTTGCCATGAAGCACGGTGTTATGCCGTACTTGGATCCGAGTGACTTGACGACAAGTTTGAAGAGCGACGCTTTGTCAGCCATTTGCTGGATCTCGCCGAATTCGAGAGCCTATGCTGTGTCAGTCTGCTTTGCCCGAGCCCCCGAGTTGATACACCCACCGCTTCAAAGACACCCGGGCCGGACTCTGTATGCCATCCTTCGATTCCGCAGCCAAACTGGGCGCATGTGTTGAAGATGCCGTAGTAGTACTCTTGGTTGTGAACCGGCCGAGTGATGCTGTATCCGAACATGCCTTCGGTAAGACTCGGGAGCGAGTTGACGGGGTTGTCGCGCAAGAAGGCGGCGGTGCTCGACGTGTTCCTCTCCGAGCCATCGTGACTCTGGGGCGCGCGGAATTGGTAGAACTCATACTCGGCTACACAGTAACACATCAGCTTCATTGACGACGCGCAGCACCCGCTCTTCAACTGGCGTTGGACTCACCACCAGCCATAGCGCCATATCCATTCTCCTTCAGCTTGTCGACGGCGCGCTTCAACAGACTTCTTGGGCATGCGCTGAGGGTGCCCTTGGTGTCCGGGTCGTGGAAACTGATGAGGAAGAAGGGCACGTTGTCCTCCCACGGTATCCTCCGGAAGGAGGTCAGGTCGGGTATGGCGAGCAAGTCGCGGTAGCCGTTCTCCTTGTTGGAGATGGCCAGTTCCTTGAAGTATGTCTGGTCGTGCATGTCCCATCCGAAGATGACAGAGCAGAAACCGAAGCCCTCGTTGGCTATGCTGAGGAACTTTTTCTTGGCCATGAGCTTTCCGCGCAGGACGCCGTCGACATCGATGCCCGCGACCTTGACTGCAAGGTCATTTTTGAGGAGTTCGGGCAGTTGCTCGGCCGTCAGCTTGGAGGCATCGAATTCGGCGGCCATGGTGAGGATGAAGGGGGCGGGCAGATGTAGCTGTTGAAGCTTACGCTGTATGGGTGAAAGGAGCGTCGTGTCGTGGGTACGAGATATCGCGTCGCAATCAGGTTTGCGCGGATAGAGAGTTTAAGGGCCCAAGGCGTTTGGGATGCGATAGGCGGGACAGCTGGGGTGGGCCAATGAGGGGTTATCGGGATGCGGGCTGCGATGCATCCAACGACATCATAGCCTGGCCTTGCATGCGCGTACAGGCTATATCTTGCATAGTCACGCGTATGTGTGCTATCTCTCTCCTACGCGACACCTCGACACCCTCCCAATGCGACAACATGAATCCCTATGCGACAACGTGATGATGCGCCGGCATACAAGAGACGGGCGAACACGCACGTCATCCATCATGGCGGGGTAGTGGCCATACTTCATCAGCCCTGACGCGTGACGGCGTTTGGCGCATCCATGCCGTGTAGGACAGTTGTTAATTCGAGGCTGCTATCGTGCCTTCGCCCACCGCTCCTTCGTCGTGTGCCCAAAGATGACAGCCGCCAACGCGATAGCCCGCCCTTATCGTAGTCTATCAATGCAATGGGCCGATTTCGGGACCCTTGATGTTTGAATGACTTGTGAGCTGTCCGAGACTACCCGTCCGTCATCTCCATCTCCTCGCACTCTCCATTCCGACGACGCTCCTCATACGCCAGCCCGCACTGCAAAGTCCGATTCATAGGTGAGTGTGGAGACTGGTACTGTTTGCGCCTTTGGCAAACCTTCCCCATTCACAGGCCCGTGTGCTGTTCTCATGACGCTCCCTCTAGCAAAATATTAGTCATATCTCACAGCTTCCACAAAACTTTGCCTCACCCTTCATATCCATTAACCGCATTGCAGCACCTTCACTACACTTCTATCAGCACAATAACCAGACCAAACATTCAACATGGGTCGTCTTGAAGGCAAGAACTGCATCATCACTGGAGGCGCTGGGTAAGCACCGATCCCGCACGTACCACGACACATTTCCTACCAGCATTTCTTTTGCAGCCATCTACCCTTTTGACCATGTTTCGTTACTGGCTTCAACGCCGATGTGTTCATTTTTCAACGCGGGGAGCAGCACGCACAGAATCATACCGCATACCGCAACTTCCTACTGACGATCACTAGCGGTATCGGTCTCGAGACTGCCATTCTTTTTGCTCGGGAAGGCGCCAATGTCCTCCTCTCTGATATTTCAGGCCCAGCCCTGGAGAAGGCTTCGGCCAAGCTGAAAGAGATAGTCCCAGAGGCCAAGAAGGTCGAGACGAAGATTACCGATGTTTCCAAGGAGGCCGACGTACAGGCTATGGTTGAGCACGTGGACTCATGGGGTGGTCTGGATGTACTGTTCAACAACGCAGGCATTATGCACTCAGACGACGATGACGCTGTCAACACACCCGAGAAAATCTGGGACCTGACACAAGCCATCAACGTCAAGGGTGTCTGGTTCGGCTGCAAGCACGCAGTCAACAGCTTCAGAAAGAACGGCAAGAAGAAGACCAGTGTCATCAACACCGCCAGCGTTGTCGCATTAGTCGGTAGCGCAACACCTCAGCTCGCATACACCGCCAGCAAGGGTGCCGTACTGGCCATGACACGCGAGTTGGCTATGGTTCACGCACGTGAGGGCTTCAGGTTCAACGCGCTATGCCCAGCACCGTTGAAGTAGGTTCACTCCCAACCATTTGCTACTTGTGATATACTGACAGTAACAGCACACCACTCCTGCAAGATTGGCTTGGTGACGACCAGGCTAAGCGTCACCGTCGCGAAGTCCACTTCCCCACGGGTCGTTTCGGTGAGGCCATCGAGCAGGCGCAGGGTGTCCTCTTCCTTGCCAGCGATGAGAGCAGCTTCGTCAACGGCACCGATTTCGTCATCGATGGTGGCATGACCAGGTGTTACACCACGCCTGACGGACCACCTACTGAGGCGCCCAAGAACAACGCAAAGTAAGTGCGGGTTCAAGGGTTAAGTTGTTGGAGGATCAGAAGAGCACAAAGGCCCATGGACAGGAAACCGTGGCTATGAAGGATGTATGATATATGAGATCAAATCTTATGACGAGCAATACCATCAGTGAACATCTACCTTTGTTGCTGACCGTGGTCTACCTTAGCGCGAGTTGTCCATGATTGCGGATGTCACCACAACAGAAGAGCCTTAGACCTGATGAAGTCAAGAACGTGACTTACGCAGCTGTCACATAGGCTTATGGATGGCAGTTCACAGAAAAGCGCCCTGAGTGGCTACGGGACGTCTTCCACTGCAATCAACACTTCTTCCAAATTGCCTGACAGCGTAAGTAGGAAGCTCTACGCAATTCGCTCGGGAATGTCTGACCGAGCATGAGTATGGGAATTGGAAATGGGGTTGAGGAGTGATTCGTCCGGTGAAGTATGCCCTCGACGCCTGCAGTAGTTTCAGATGACCACGCGTCTTAGCGCATCCGTGTTGGGATGGCGTTTCAGGGTCCAGGCGGCCAGGATCGGACTTTCTTGGACCACGCGCCATCTGGTCAGACCGTCATCGGCAACATGGACCGCATTACCGCACGCGCTGACAACGACTTCAATGTCGCCTTGTATGGCGCACTCTGGATAGCCGCACTCTCTTTCATCTGGATTACTTGTCGTGCTGATCCCGAGGAGCCTGTCAAGTATGAAGTCGACACACCTGAGCAGGCTCGCAAAGGATGGAAGGGCCAGGTGCTTGAGAAGCCGCAGTTGAAGGTGCACATGTACTCCCCAGGTTTCGGTTTCGGTGACTGACTTCAGCAGGTACCGGGCTCTTCCCTGATCCAATGCTACGCTCCCGCGACTGGTGAAGCCCTCGGGCGCATCAACCCCTCCACAGCCGACGGCATCGACCGCGCAATCGCCAAAGCCAAGGCAGCCCAGGTACAATGGGCTCAGACAAGCTTCCTCAGGCGGCGAAAGGTGCTGCGCACTATGCTCAAGTTCATCCTGGAGAACCAAGAAGAGATTGCGCGGGTCGCATGTCTGGACTCTGGCAAGACCATGGTAGACGCGAGCCTGGGCGAGATTCTGGTGACGGTGGAGAAGCTGAGGTGGACGATTAAACATGGCGAAAAGAGCCTGAAGGCTGAGAAGAGAGACACCAACTTCCTCATGATGTACAAGTGGAATAAGGTTGTTTATGAGCCGCTGGGCGTCGTTGCGGCTTGCGTGAGCTGGAAGTAAGTATCAAACGTCACTCGATTAAATTATTGCGGCTAACAATACTACAGCTACCCCTTCCACAATCTCATAAGCCCCGTAATAGCCTCCATCTTCGCCGGTAATGCCATCATCGTCAAAGGCTCGGAAGCGACTGCCTGGTCCTCGTCATACTTCGCTTCAATTGCTACTCGCGCCCTTGAAGCATGCGGTCATTCGCCCGACATCGTTCAGTCTGTCGTCTGCTGGCCTGACGTCGCCGATCATCTTACTTCGCATCCGTCGATATCACACATAACCTTTATTGGATCGCGACCGGTAGCACACCATGTTTGCGCATCGGCGGCGAAGGCACTGACACCAGTGTGCGTAGAATTGGGCGGCAAAGACCCGGCGATAGTACTGGATGACCTGTCCAACAGCGACTTCAAGCGCGTTGCCAGTATCCTCATGAGGGGCACATTCCAGTCTGCAGGCCAGAACTGTATCGGCATCGAGCGCGTAATCGCCCTACCCAAAGTCTACGACCGCTTCATCGAGTACCTCACACCCAAGATACAGGCACTCCGTCCAGGCTCCATTCTCAACAACACCTCAGACACACCCATCGACATCGGCGCATCGATTTCCGACGCGAGTTACACGAAGCTCGAAGAGCTCATCCAAGATGCCGTCAATAACGGCGCCCGCCTACTAGCAGGTGGAAAACGCTACACCCATCCCGATCACCCCCAAGGTCACTACTTCACACCTACCTTCATCGCCGACGTAACACCAACCATGAAGATCGCACAAACCGAACTCTTCGCCCCCGTCTTCCTCCTCATGCGCGCCGAGTCTGTCACAGACGCCATCACAATCGCGAACAGCACCACGTACGCCCTCGGCTCCTCCGTCTTCGGCACCTCGACCCGCGACCTCGAACTCGTCGTCCGCTCCCTACAAGCCGGCATGGTTGCCGTCAACGACTTTGCAGTCTACTACATGGTTCAGATGCCGTTTGGCGGTACAAAGGGTAGTGGCTATGGGCGCTTTGCCGGGAAAGAAGGACTGAGGAGTCTGTGTAATCAGAAGAGTATTACGAGGGATCGGTGGGCTTGGGCGGGGATCAAGACGGCGATTCCGCCGCCTATGGATATTCCGCTTAGGGGAGAGGGAGCGGGAGAGAAGGCGTGGAAGATGGCGGAGGGGATTGTTTGGTTGGGGTATGGGGATTTGAGGGGGAAGGTTAGGGGGTTGAGGGGTGTGTTGGGGGTGTAGAAGATGGAATACACTTATACGCTGTATAGGTAGATTACATATACGCGTAAATCGATATAATCATCTTCAGATCGAAGTTTTGTACACTTCCTTTGTCTTTGTGCCTGTGTGCAAGTCTGGCGATTGGTTCAGAGGTTTGCTTTTCGTAATCGATCCAGGGTACTGGTCACCACGTCATGATGGCTGTGAGATCAGCTCCTCACTTCCGTATTTTGATCTCCGCACACTCCCCATCGACAGTGCAAACGATAGTTCCGACGGGATAACCCGGCCAGTGGTGCCATTTCTGTCCATCGTATTGGTTGGAGTTGTTCTTTGCCGCGTGAGCAACTTCCTCACACATCACCGTGATGGCTACCAAAGACGTAGTAATCGGGACTTCGATCTGTTAGTCTCTGACTTCATAGATTCGTAGGGAGGGGTCGAGTTTTACCACCATAGAGTTGTGCGAGAGCGAGAGGGATCTGGCAGAACGCTTCCAGAAGTAGAGAACCAGAGTTCATCTTCGTGTTTTCAAGGTTGTTGTAG